ATCTGGCCAGGTAGGGTGCCCAAAGTGCAATTGCAAACTGTATCTTGCCCCAATTATAACTCGTTTTTGCGACTCTTCTTAAGTTACCCCTTCATTATATTACTTACAAACATCAAAATACGGAGTGCAGACGTCAGTTTGAAAAAAAAAGGCAGTTCCAGGAGTCATGTTACCAGGCTTGCTCTTCATAGTCTCGTAGCAATATATTAAGAATTGAGGATCTGCAAGAAGACCTATTAGATCCGTATATCTGCCCGAGAGTTTGCGTTCTCTCAACGAAGAAGAAAGACCTCCGCGGATCTTATCTGGAGGAAGGCTCTTGTTTGTCTGCGGAATCTGACTGACCCTCTTCGCTGCCTGTAAGGGTTGGTTTCCCTCCCCAGCTACTATAGGGCCTCCGTGTTGCAACCTAAGTTGCTTACAGTGCTTCACTCTTCATAAACAGACCTGCATCTGGATAACAGCTATGCAGATGCAGGTCTGTTGTTGGAGTGTGAACCGAGTTCAACTAAGTTGAACTAACTCGTCGGCAGGTCTGTTGTTGGAGTGGGAACTTCTGTTGTTGGAGTGTGAAATGACTTCAACTAAGTTGAACTAACTGGTCTATCCTCTGTAAATGTGTCTCCCGTTAGCCCACATCTGAACCCAAAAGAAAAGGAAAACGGGCCTGAAAAACCCCCAGAACAATTTTTGGGACTTGGCTACTCAGTGGGGAAGGGTCCTGGACCTTTTTTACTATTCCAATTGAAATTTGGCAGGACCGGACATCTGGACTCTGGACTGAATCCAGACCGTCTGAACGACGGTCCGGGATCGAAGCCATGAAATAAACCTAAATGTGGCATTTTTAAAAACACAAGGAACCTTGCTGAATACATTTTGAGCGATTTCCTGTGTGTTTTCTATTAATTGTTATGTTCTCAGATACAGATGAGTTTTGGCATATGTTAAATTTATGAGAACGGCAATCAGCTTAAGAAAAATGACCCCAAATAAAAGAGGAATCAAAAGTTTCAAACTGACTTCTTTGTTTGGAAGGGCTCAAAGCATGGTAACCGGTCGGACGTCCGGACCGGGTTCGAGACAGTCCGGAGCAAAATGTCCGGGTCCGGTGTCCGGTATCGAACGTCCGGAAAGAGGGGCCCGACCAAAAATTCAAAAAAAAAAAAGGGGGCAGCCCAGGACACTAATCGGGTACTGGGTGCGCCCTGAAAAATACAGGCCTGAGTTTTCAGGCATATTCGGTGTACCGGACACAGGTGAATCAGGCTGGGTGTTGGGTGTTTGAGGTGTGGTATTGGGTGGTTGGCGGGGTAATTTCGAAGTAGTTGTTTTTGAAAGCCCGCCCATCGCTGCTGCCAGTTCGCTCGCAACATCTGTCGAAGGCCGTCGCTGAAGCCATCGCCGACCAGCCACCAGGAGTGAAGCCGTCGCTGAAGCCATCGTCGAGAAGCTGCTGCCAGGAGTCGCAGCCAGCCGCTCCCAGTTCACGACGACTCCACCTTGCCAGCAGGTCAGACACTCTCTCTCTCTCTCTCTCTCTCTCTCTCTCTCTCTCTCTCTCTCTCTCTCTCTCTCTCTCTCTCTCTCTCTC